GGTACAATACGTGGACACTGCAGACGGCCTATTGGCCCATCCGATGCAGCAACCACACACAGGCACACACATGGATAATTATAGCATAAAATAGTAAATATTTACAATGAATTAGTGAGACAAATGTGTTCCAATGATCCTACATAAATCGCCCTTTAATTGATCTATTAAAAATGGATCTAAGTTATATAGACCACTACTAATGTTCAAATTACTTTCTTTTGTGATCTGTATCAAAGCAGATTCAATTATGTTTCTGTTATAGGTGCTTTTACAATTCGTTATTGAAGAAGCACTCTCCCAATCAATTTGGTGAGCATCTTCTGACAGATGAACAAACAAAGCATTAGACAATTGGCCGTGTCTTAAAGAGTATTTATGTTGCGAAATTCTACATTTCAAATCTTTAGATGTTTGCCCAACATAGAACTTATTACAGTCTTTACAAGGTATTTTATAAATTTACAAGGTATTTTATAAATGACACAATTATCACTACGAGGGCTGTTCCTAACTAATAGCTTACCAACAGTATTTTCGTAGCTAAACAATACATGTATATTAAAAAGTTTCAAGGCCTTGACAATATTCTCAAACCCAGAGAAATGTGGTACACATAACACATTCTTTGGGCGAATTCTTTCACTGCATATATTATTATAATATGTACGACGTGCTTTACTACGGCAAACTTCCAAAAAACTCAGTGGGTAACAAAGCTTGAGACCAATCGAATCAATATTCTTAAACTCTTCGTCTAAGAATTCTGGACTTACAACTCGAAGAGCTCTTAGATACATTGAAGAAAAAATTGACTTTTTCACATTGTATCTATGTCCTGAAAAATAATGAACATAAGACAAATTATTCGTAGGTTTTCTGTAAACACTAAACTTTAGTGAAGAATCTTCCCTATGAATAAGAACATCTAAGAATGGCAAACATTTATCAATTTCAGTCTCCATAGTAAATTTTATAGAGGTGACTTGGTCATTAAGTTTGGCTACAAATTCTAGTGACCAGTCTAGCAACAAGGATGCGTGGCCGACGACCGGGCCGCAGGGTCGCTAAGCCCCGAAATCATCTCACGGTAACTCACGGTAAAAGAGTAGGTCACTCTTTCTTCCCCCTTCCCCATTCCTCCCTGTCTACTCTCTCTCACCTCTTCCCCCCCTCCTTCCTCTTTCCATCTCTACTCTCCACCTGTCATTCTCTTTCTAAGGAAAAAAGAATGAATATATGGACTCTGGACGGTGAAACTTTTCACTGGATTTGATTCGTTGTCACAGTTGGACGCAGCGCCCCACCTCTTAACATGACCTACAGAACCGACCCTGATCAGCTTATGTCCGTCCCGTACTCCAGACCATTCACCTGGCAAAGTTGAGTGAGACTAGCCCCAAGCGTCTGGCCCCAGCCTTGGACAGAGATCAACAGACATTCTCTCGCTGTTAGATATAGACTATCATAATGTCTCATTTCCACTATGCAATATTAAATTGTTAAACATAACACTCACAAGAAGAAAAAAGTGATTGATGTTGCCATTAATGTCATTATTTTTTTATATAGTATAGATGGTAATAGAGACACTCAGTGTCAAACAATATCTAATTAACTAAGACCCATTGTGCCATTGTGATCACTTGAGGCTACCGCCCGTTCAATGGTTATTGGGGCACACAGTAAACTACCACTTGTACAGTTAGTTTAGGATGCTTGATAACCTACTGACAAGGATGAGTATGAGGTGCATATTAAAATACCACTCGCATGATGAGTGTGGGCTGCACAAAAACAATTCAGTAAAACCTTTTTATTGGGGTCTCCCCCTCTTGATTTCTCCTTTAATTTAAATGATCTGTATTAATTTCTAAATATACAGGTAATCTATTACTATACATAATGCAATAGATGTATAATTCGTTTGTGCCAAGCATTTGTATTTTTTACCGCTATCACCTTAGTTGTTTAAACGGTTTGAAATTGTTTTTGTTACGATGTTGTTACTAGGGAAACAAGACGTAACTAATATGGTGTTTTTGTTCTATGTTATTTGCTTAGTTGCGCCGTGGGGGAAGGGATAGGCCTAGGTCCACCGTGGGATGGTATAGGCCTAGGTCCACCGTGGGATGGGATAGGCCTAGGTCCACCGTGGGATGGGATAGGCCTAGGTCCACCGTGGGATGGTACAAGTTGAATTAATAACAGACTAGAGCACCGTAATGTTGACGTGTTCTATGTATTGACCCTCAATAGGTTAGGGGGTTGCTTGGGTTTGTATGTATTATGTTAGGCAAAACAGTTGTATTTGTTACGGAATGGCAAATCGAGTGACCGGACTGTTTGGAGAGAGACGGGGTCAATGAGACATGATAACAACGTACAAAGTATCTCAGTGATATTTATGAGGTTGATAAAGAAGACAAGGTAGAATAGAAGAGTGATAAGGTAATAGAAACTTTAGGGGCATTGTGGTGGCAGGGATTTTAGAAAGAACATTTGTATAGCCTAGGAGAAGCCTAGAGAAGTAACAGAGTTGTCTAGGCAGACATTTCTGCCTCTATAGTCGAGAGGCAGACATTGTATTATCCTGTGATGGTAATGAGGATGGTCGGAAGTCACTCACTACCTGAGACAACACACAGCTTACAAGGCGGAACTCAAGCATTAACCCTTGACCCCACAAACATTTAAGTGCATACACATCACCAGGGCGATACAGTTCCTGTAGCCTAAACTACAAAATGGTAGTTTCACACAAATTAGCTATCTGTGGGCTTAGAGAGAGAGAGAGAGAGGTGGTAGTGTACATCACACACTAGGGTACCCTGCTAACCTAGCATCTGCAGCGCTCACCATTCATGCGGTGACAAGGTCAGTCGCCTGATGGTGTGTTTTTGTATGTTCATTCCTGGCTGAGTTATTGCGTTCCTGCTCCTGGGTTCCCTGGGTTTTATTTTTGTAGCTGTTGGTTGTCTGTTGTTAAGACAAGACTGAGTCTACCTTGAGGGGGTTCCGGGGATCAGTGTCCAAGATTATCTTTCTCTCAGACGGGCTGGTCGACCAAACTGTTGCTGCTGTACCGTAAAAACAATAAAAACCTTGTGGAACGTTGCTTGCGAGATGCATAATTTATATATTTAGTATTTTTCCATTATATAATCAACGTGTTCCAAGAGCCTATAATTCACAAAGTGAAAAATTAAGCTAGTGGACGGGCTAGGCCGGTTCCTCCATACTAGGCTTTTTTTACTACTACAGACGTAGCCTTATATTTACGTATACAAAGTTAGCCAGTATACATACATTTTCTTGTGTCCTCCATGGACACAAGAAAAACAGATCTCTATGCAGAGTTAGAGATCAGTTAGACAACATATAGTGTGGTGAGTTATTGAGCACTCAACCAAAGGTAGTGCTTGCAGTGCTTTGCAATACTAATCAGCATGTGTGTGTGTGTGTGTGTGTACTCACCTAGTTGTACTCACCTAGTTGTGTTTGCGGGGGTTGAGCTCTGGCTCTTTGGTCCCGCCTCTCAACCGTCAATCAACAGGTGTACAGATTCATGAGCCTATCGGGCTCTGTCATATCTACACTTGAAACTGTGTATGGAGTCAGCCTCCACCACATCACTTCCTAATGCATTCCATTTGTCAACCACTCTGACACTAAAAAAGTTCTTTCTAATATCTCTGTGGCTCATTTGGGCACTCAGTTTCCACCTGTGTCCCCTTGTGCGTGTTCCCCTTGTGTTAAATAGACTGTCTTTATCTACCCTATCAATCCCCTTCAGAATCTTGAATGTGGTGATCATGTCCCCCCTAACTCTTCTGTCTTCCAGAAGACAGAAGAGTGTGTGTGCGTGCGTGTGTGTGTGTGTGTGTGTGTGTGTGTGTGTGTGTGTGTGTGTGTGTGTGTGTGTGTGTGTGTGTGTGTGTGTGTGTGTGTGTGTGTGTGCTGGAAGAGCCGGATTCAATACGCATGGCCTTGTGTGCACCTTAGCTCTCGACCCATTCTGTCGCAATGCTATTTGTCTGATCCAATAACGTCTAATTACTTCTTGATATATTTTAGTGCCAGTCATATGAGATAGGAGTGAAGGTGCCTGTTAGTTTCTCGTGCATTCTGATTGGCACTGAATGATTTTTGATTGCTAATGAAGGGAGAGTGATTGTTGATATTGTGCTGGTGTCTGGCTCGTATGTAGGGAGGATCTCTGTCATTTTCAGCCTTCCTGTGTGTGTATATTCACCTAGTTGTATTCACCTAGTTGTGTTTGCGGGGGTTGAGCTTTGCTCTTTCGGCTCGCCTCTCAACTGCGAATCAACTGTTTACTACGACTTTTTTTTTCACACCACACACACACACACACACACCAGGAAGCAGCCCGTGACAGCTGACTAATTCCCAGGTACCTATTTGCTTCTAGGTAACAGGGGCATTCAGGGTGAAAGACACTTTGCCCATTTGTTTCTGTCTGGTGTGGGAATCGAACCCGTGCCACAGAATTACGAGTCCTGCGCGATATCCACCAGTGTGTGTGTGTGTGTGTGTGTGTGTGTGTGTGTGTGTGTGTGTGTGTGTGTGTGTGTGTGTGTGTGTGTGTGTGTGTGTGTGTGTGTGTGTGTGTGTGTGTGTGTGTGAGTGTGTGTGTGTGTGTGTGTGTGTGTATGTTGCATTTTAACGGATTGGTAAAATCCGTAAAAAATGTACGCACTAGTAAAAGAAGAAAATGCACCGTAATAGTGACGCTTTCTATACATCAGCCACGATAGGTTAGGTGGGTTGCTTGGGTGCGTACGTGTCTAGTTTGGCAAAACCGTTGCATTTGTTACGGAGAGACAGACCGAGAGTACGGTCTCCTCCGACACTTGTCAAGCATCTGTAATACAATTTGACACGACGATTACTTAGATCTAAATCTAAGGCTGTTTAGATTTTGACGAGCCTAGCTACCAATACGGAAATTGAAAGTTAGATTTATATTTGTCTTTAAACTACACGCCGACTTGATGTGCTTTTGTTGTTCCATAGTGCTTTTGTTGTTCCATAGTGCTTTTGTTGCTCCACAGTGCTTTTGTTGTTCCATAGTGCTTTTGTTGTTCCATAGTGCTTTTGTTGTTCCACAGTGCTTTTGTTGTTCCATAGTGCTTTTGTTGTTCCACAGTGCTTTTGTTGTTCCATAGTGCTTTTGTTGTTCTATGGTGCTTTTGTTGCTCCACAGTGCTTTTGTTGTTCCATAGTGCTTTTGTTGTTCCATGGTGCTTTTGTTGTTCCATGGTGCTTTTGTTGTTCCATAGTGCTTTTGTTGTTCCATGGTGCTTTTGTTGTTCCATGGTGCTTTTGTTGTTCCATGGTGCTTTTGTTGTTCCATGGTGCTTTTGTTGTTCCATGGTGCTTTTGTTGTTCCATGGTGCTTTTGTTGTTCCATAGTGCTTTTTTTGTTCCATGGTGCTTTTGTTGTTCCATGGTGCTTTTGTTGTTCCATGGTGCTTTTGTTGTTCCATATTGCTTTTGTTGTTCCATATTGCTTTTGTTGTTCCATATTGCTTTTGTTGTCCCATGGTGCTTTTGTTCCATGATGCTTTTGTTGTTCCATGGTGCTTTTGTTGTTCCATGGTGCTTTTGTTGTTCCATGGTGCTTTTGTTGTTCCATGGTGCTTTTGTTCCATAGTGCTTTTGTTGTTCCATGGTGCTTTTGTTGTTCCATTGTGCTTTTGTTCCATGGTGCTTTTGTTGTTCCATATTGCTTTTGTTGTTCCATATTGCTTTTGTTGTTCCATGGTGCTTTTGTTCCATGGTGCTTTTGTTGTTCCATAGTGCTTTTGTTGTTCCATGGTGCTTTTGTTGTTCCATTGTGCTTTTGTTCCATGGTGCTTTTGTTGTTCCATATTGCTTTTGTTGTTCCATATTGCTTTTGTTGTTCCATGGTGCTTTTGTTGTCCTATGATGCTTTTGTTGTTGCATGCTTTTGTTGTTCCATGGTGCTTCTGTTGTTCCATGGTGCTTTTGTTCCATAGTGCTTTTGTTGTTCCATGGTGCTTTTGTTGTTCCATGGTGCTTTTGTTGTTCCATGGTGCTTTTGTTCCATGGTGCTTTTGTTCCATGGTGCTTTTGTTGTTCCATTGTGCTTTTGTTGTTCCATGGTGCTTTTGTTCCATAGTGCTTTTGTTGTTCCATGGTGCTTTTGTTGTTCCATGGTGCTTTTGTTGTTCCATGGTGCTTTTGTTGTTCCATGGTGCTTTTGTTCCATAGTGCTTTTGTTGTTCCATGGTGCTTTTGTTGTTCCATGGTGCTTTTGTTCCATAGTGCTTTTGTTGTTCCATGGTGCTTTTGTTGTTCCATGGTGCTTTTGTTCCATAGTGCTTTTGTTGTTCCATGGTGCTTTTGTTGTTCCATGGTGCTTTTGTTGTTCCATGGTGCTTTTGTTGTTCCATGGTGCTTTTGTTGTTCCATATTGCTTTTGTTGTTCCATGGTGCTTTTGTTGTTCCATGGTGCTTTTGGTTGTTCCATGGTGCTTTTGTTGTTCCATGGTGCTTTTGTTGTTCCATGGTGCTTTTGTTGTTCCACAGTGTTTTTGTTTGATGGTTTGTGTTTATGATTTGTTCTTGCTATGTGCATGTAATGCCACCTGTAGGTGTGTTGTGTCTTTGTTATGTATGCATGATGCCTTGTGCATGTAATACAGGCATACGAGAGAGAGAGAGAGAGAGAGAGAGAGAGAGAGAGAGAGAGAGAGAGCGAGAGAGAGAGAGAGGGTGGTGGGGAGGGGGGGGGGGGGGGGGGGGGGGGGGAGAGAGGGAGGAGAGAGAGAGAGGAGAGAAGAGTAGAGAGGAGAGAGGAGAGAGAGAGACGAGAGAAGAGAGAGAGAGAGAGAGAGAGAGAGAGAGAGAGAGAGATCTCCGTGACCTCATTACCAGTGGGTACCCCGCCCCAGGGGGGATGATCATCTCTTCTACCCAGCATCACCTCCTCCACCAGGTAACAGCTAGTGTTTATACACTGGTTACAGGTCAAGTGTGATAGCCTACCGTGAGTGTGTGTGTGTGTGTGTGTGTGTGTGTGTGTGTGTGTGTGTGTGTGTGTGTGTGTGTGTGTGTGTGTGTGTGTGTGTGTGTGTTCTCACCTAGTTGTGCTTGCGGGGGTTGAGCTCTGGCTCTTTGGTCCCGTCTCTCAACCGTCAATCAACAGGTGTACAGGTTCCTGAGCCTATTGGGCTCTATCATATCTACACTTGAAACTGTGTATGGAGTCAGCCTCCACCACATCACTTCCTAATGCATTCCATTTGTCAACTACTCTGACACTAAAAAAGTTCTTTCTAATATCTCTGTGGCTCATTTGGGCGCTCAGTTTCCACCTGTGTCCCCTTGTGCGTGTGCCCCTTGTGCTAAATAGAATGTCTTTATCTACCCTATCGAATTCCCTTCAGAATCTTGAATGTGGTGATCATGTCCCCCCTAACTCTTCTGTCTTCCAGCGAAGTGAGGTTTAATTCCCGCAGTCTCTCTCCTCGTAGCTCATAACCTCTCAGCTCGGGTACTAGTCTGGTGGCAAACCTTTGAACCTTTTCCAGTTTAGTTCTTATCCTTGACTAGATATTGACTCCATGCTGGGGGCTGCATACTCCAGGATTGGCCTGACATATGTGGTATACAAAGTTCTGAATGATTCTTTACACAAATTTCTGAATGCCGTTCGTATGTTGGCCAGCCTGGCATATGCCGCTGATGTTATCCTCTTGATATGTGCTGCAGGAGACAGGTCTGGACGTGATATCAACCCCCAAGTCTTTTTCTTTCTCTGACTCCTGAAGAATTTCCTCTCCCAGATGATACCTTGTATCTGGCCTCCTCCTCCCTACCCCTATCACCTATCTTACATTTGGTGGGTTAAACAGTGTGTGTGTGTGTGTGTGTGTGTGTGTGGTGTGTGTGTGTGTTGTGTGTGTGTGTGTGTGTGAGTGTGGGTGTGTGTGTGTGTGTGTGTGTGTGTGTGTGTGTGTGTGGTGTGTGTGTGTGTGTTGTGTGTGTGTGTGCGTGTGTGTGTTTGTGTTCTCCCTATTTGTGCTTGCTCTGGATCTTTGGTCCCGCCTCTCAACTGTCAATCAACTGGTGTACAGATTCCTGAGCCTACTGGGCTCTATCATATCTACATTTGAAACTGTGTATGGAGTCAGCCTCCACCACATCACTCCTATCGTGCATTCCACCTGTTAACTACTCTGGCACGGAAAAAGTTCTTTCTAACGTCCCTGTGGCTCATGTGGGTACTCAGTTTTCACCCTGGGTCCCCTTGGTCGCTTACCACCAGTGTTGAACAATTTATCCTTTATCTACCCGGGTCAATTCCCCTGAGGAATTTGTAGGTAGTGATCATGTCTTCCTTCTCTTACTCTTCTGTTCTACAGTGTCGGTAAGGTGCATTCCCCGTAGCCTTTTCTCGTAACTCATGCCTCTTAGTTCTGGGACTAGTCTAGTGGCATACCTTGGACTTTTAAAGCTTCGTCTTGTGCTTGACAAGGTACGGGCTCCATGCTGGGGCCGCATAGCCAGGGATGGTGTTACATATGTGGTGTACAAGATTCTGAATGATTCCTTACATAAGAATCATCAGAATCTTGTACATGTAATACAGGCATAAGAGAGAGAGAGAGAGAGAGAGAGAGAGAGAGAGAGACTAGGAGAGAGCGAGGAGAGAGAGAGAGAGAGAGAGAGAGAGAGAGAGAGGAGAGAGAGAGAGGAGAGAGAGAGAGAGAGAGAGGGACCTGTGTGTGTGTGTGTGTGTGTGTGTGTGTGTGTGTGTGTGTGTGTGTGTGTGTGTGTGTGTGTGTGTGTGTGTGTGTGTGTGTGCGAGAGAGACATTAACCGTTGTAACTAACAGGCTCTTGTCAACAAAATTAATTTTGTAAAAATAAATGAAATGTAAATAAATATTGAATAATAAAATAGTTTTAGCTAGCACATAGTGTATCAGCAAACCCCCCCCCCCATCCCTCCTCCCCCCCCATTCCCTTCCCCCCCCCCTACATCTCACCAAGCATCCTATTTCCCTCCCCCCCCCTCCCCTAAACAAATAAAAAATCCCCTTCCCACCCCACAATTCCCCATCAACCCGCCCCCGTCCCCCACCCCCCAACCCATCCATCCCCTCCCCTTCTATTCCAGCCCAACCGTCCAGCGCGTGTATTCTGCCCCCCCCCCCCCCCCCCCCCTCCCCCCTGACAAATTGCCCCTATTCTTATACCAGCGTTGTAAACATGGGGAAAATGGACCATCAGCTTCTGGCGAACAGAAAATCGAACCCCATTATGTGCTGGGAGTAGTCATCTCTGAGGCGCTGGACTGTGTTATAAGGACTTAGGGACGAGGCTATAATGACTTCCCCCATGACGCAAATACGGAATTATCGACGCCTAATTACAGGGAAGAGCGAAGCCGCGGGTAAACATCGTTACCAGTTGCAAATTTATTAACGTTTTGTAACACTGAAACCGTTGTCATGAATCGTCCAATAGGTTAAAAATACGACGTGCCAGTTAATACGCCGGAATATTGACGTTTGTGGCCCTTGGTAGTTCAGGCGGGTTCTTTGGGGTCGAGGTAAGGGCAAAAACAGTTGTCTTTCTTACGGAGTGTGGGTCCCAAGAGTGCAAGAGTGGTAGTCATTCATGAATGCATAATAGCACTTAAAGACTTTAAATTATTTAAGAGTCGAAAATATTGAATACGTTTATAATTAGCCTATTAAGTAATTCACATAAAAATTACTTGCGATTCTTTTAACTTATTATGGATTTTTCCCGCCTTAATGATAGACTTTGTGTGTGTGTACTCACCTAGTTGTGCTTACGGGGGTTGAGCTTTAGCTCTTGGTCCCGCCTCTTTAGTGATGTGGAAGGAACTAGGCAGTGATGTGGTGGAGGCTGACTCCATACACAGTTTCAAATGTAGATATGATAGAGCCCAGTAGGCTCAGGAATCTGTACACCAGTTGATTGACAGTTGAGAGGCGGGACCAAAGAGCCAGAGCCCAACCCTCGTAATAACAACTAGGTGAGTACACACACAAATGGGGACCTCGCAGCAGAGTGGACAGCGCTCGGGGGTCGTAGTCCTAAGGGTCCGGGTTAATTCGAATCCCAGCCGAGGTAGAAACAAATACGCAGAGTTTCTTTCACCCTGATGCACCTATTCATCTAGCAGTAAATAGGTTCCTGTGAGTTAAACAGTTGCTACGGGCTGCTTCCTGGGAATGTGTGTGTGTGTGTTTGTGTTAGATAGAAATATATGTAGTAGACATGATAAAGGAAAAATAGAGTGGTTAGAAAAGCGGGGGTCCAAGAACTAATAGCTCGATTTTGTTGGCATAAATAGTAGATACAAATAGAAACACACACACACCATACAAGAGGACCAGCCCGTCCTCCTAAGATTTCCCAACGTCAAGAAACTGTCGCACTAAAGTGCCCTTATCCTAACCCGCCAGAGGACCCAAAACAGAAAACGGGATAGTACGTCAATTTCGCGAGCCGCTACCATCTTGTAGTAAGACGCTTTTTGCCCATAGGTAGAGTATACGTCAAAATACGACGTTCCATTAGGAGGACGGGTTGATGGAGCTGGAGACCCAGGGTGATGGAGGGAGGCACTAGCGTGGTCTCCTAGCCGCACCGCTCAAGTGCGGGTAGGAGACCCGCACTTGAGCGCGGTGTCACCGCAGCACCGCTCAAGTACACGCTGAGCGGTGCTGTGAGGCTTACACTGATCACCCTTGAAGAAGAGATAGAAATCTAAGCAAATAAAGTATGGGTCATCGCACTAGAAAATGGAAGCGTCTCGCAGAATTGACAGACTTTCCCGTTTTCTGTTTTGGGTCCTCCGGTAGGTTATGATAAGGACACATTAGTACGATAATTTAATGACCGTTGGGAAGGGATCAAACTAAAACAACAATGGCGGACACCAAGTACCTCAGACAGTACAGGAGGATAATTTCGTATAGGCTTGTCCCGTGAAGAAGTACGCAGTGGAGGGTTATCTTGAGATGATTTCGGGGCTTTTTTTAGTGTCCCCGCGGCCCGGTCCTCGACCAGGCCTCCACCCCCAGGAAGCAGCCCGTGATAGCTGACTAACATCCAGGTACCTATTTTACTGCTAGGTAACAGGGGCATAGGGTGAAAGAAACTCTGCCCATTGTTTCTCGCCGGCGCCTGGGATCGAACCCAGGACCACAGGATCACATGTCCCGCGTGCTGTCCGCTCGGCCGACCGGCTCCCCTTACTCTTGGTACTACTCTGGGCTGCTCAGTAAAAATGGAAGAAATACTAAAAATCTACGAGGAAGACGTGTAAACATTAGAGAAGGAACATGAAGAACTGACAAGGGACGAGGAGTCACAATAACGTGGCTGAAATATGTTGACCAGACCACACATTAGAAAGTGAAGGGACGACGACGCTTCGGTCCGTCCTGGACCATTCTCAAGTCGTCACAATCGACTTGAGAATGGTCCAGGACGGACCGAAACGT